TAATTTCCTTGCCATGTTTCTTTTTATTGTTTTTCTTGCAGCTGCTTCATTGCATCACAGAAACCATTTTATATATTAATTAGCCTGTTTTTATGTTCCGCAAATGAATTACTGGTTTGTCTAACGAAGATTTTATGCGTTTTTATATAGTCATGCAAATGCAAAAATACGTACTGGCAAGAGTTCGTCTGTGTGCGTGTGTTTTCGTATTTTATCACTTTCAATTCTGGAAACGGAGAAGCTAAGAGGCTGAATCTTCTGGAGCAAATGTCCATCCCATGGGCAACCTTCCCTATCCTTTCGTTATGCGTTTTTGGATGATGCAAATGCGCATGGTGACAAGAGGCTGTGTGTCTGTGTGTATTTGTGTTCGCACCGTTTGTCACCCACTTTCAAGTGAGGATCAGAAATGCTAGAAGGCTGAAACTTCGGGAGTATGTACCTATGCGACTCTCCCGTTTTAACATCATCACCCGCGTACGCCTGGGTGCCGCGTGCAGACACCTTGAAAATGTGCAAGTTTTTTGGCGGGACAGCGATCTCGGAAACCAGAACGGATAGAGAGCTGGAACTTTGCAGGGATATTCTCTTTGCATTTATAAGCTAAAATTTTCAATTCAGCCCCCAGGTGTGCATGTTTCTCACGTGCCGGCACGTGAAAGTTTTGTCGGGAAAATTGTTAACTCGATAACCAGAAAAGCTGGGTGGCTGAAATTTTGAGAGTGTGTTCCCCGCTCACGTGCAGCCTAAATATTTCAAATTCAGTCTCCAGGCTTGCGTGATTTTCACGCACGGGCACTTAAAGTTTTGGCGGGAAAACTGCTTACTGAACAGCTAGGTCATTTTCAAGCCTGGACTGGAATGCACCAGGCTTGCCGGTGCGATCATGCATTTTTGCGCCAAATTTAAAGTACTTAGGTCGTTAAATACATGAATGTTTATTGCTTTACACCTTTTGCGCTCACTATCGTAAAATTAGTGTAAAGGAAATGAACAAATTCCACTTAACGGCCATTCTTTGAAAATGATCCATCTGTTCAGCGAGCAGTCTACCCACCGGAACTTTTAAGCGCTCTTACGTAAGGACCACGCGTATCTGGAGGCAGAATTTGGAATATTTAAACTGAACTTGAGCAGGGGACATTCCTCTAAAATTTCAGCTTTCTGGCTTTTATGCGTTTTTGCTTTGCAGCGCTATAGCAGCGCTACAGCGCTGCTGCAGCCGGCAAAAACGCATATTGTAGAGAGGCTGTGTGTGTATGTGTGTGTGTGTTCGGAAAGCAAGTGTATTTTTTCACCCACTTTCATCTCAGCAACCAGGAAAGC